CTAATATGTGATATATTTTACGCATACGCATTTGTATTAACATATACTTTGTAGAATATACAAAAAAATAATGTTATCTGAGCTTGACTACTGAAAATGCAAGTTATCATCAATTATGATAACATAGTAACTGTACTTAATTAAAAGATTCAAATGTATTTTTGATTTTTGACATATCTGTAAAAATAAATAAATATAAAGATATTTCCCTTTTTTTACTTTCAATGGTTATAATGATAATAGGAAAATTAATAACATTAATAATAATGATAATGATAACAAAAGTGTTAGATAAAACCTCTCTCTCTCTCTCTCTCTCTCTCTCTCTCTCTCTCCTCTCTCTCTCTCTCTCTCTCTCTCTCTCTCTCTCTCTCTCTCTCTCTCTCTCTCTAACTCTAGACCTCAAAAAACGAGCAGATATTTGAAGAATATCTTTTCAGAAGAAAAATAGGTAAGACTAAAATATGAATAAAGGATAAAGGGTATTACTAGATTTTACTAAAGGATAACCTTCCAGAACACCGAAGGAGAACCAGCTGTTTGACCAAATACATGAGCATAACACCTTCAGACGCACACAGTAGCAGAGATCGAATAACCACGTAAGTAGGACGGTGAACAGTGAACAGAAACAGAACAAGTAAACCATCCAACCTCACCTAGTCAATATGAACAAAGAATGGGTTGCAAAAAACAAACAAACAAACAAAACAATGAAAAAGGAAGCACCAGGGAAAAACAACACTGAAAAAAACAATGAAAAAGGAAGCACCAGGGGAAAATAACATTGAAATATAAACTTGGAAACCCTCCCGCTCACAGTGATTCACAGACAAACCGAATATTCTGAATGCTTCACTCTTCACCGTATGGTTTCCAATGTATTTCAAAATCATCATAACCCTCATCTCTAAGCCTGGAAAATCGCCAAATGAGGTGGAGAGCCTTAGACCCAATCTCCCTTCTAGAAACCCACAAGGAAAGTTTTCGAAATAAAATCAGTAAGAGAATTCTACCGACATTTAGAAGTCACGTGGTATCTCAGCGTCAGAGAATATGGATTCAGGTTAGGCACAGCGATCGCCTTATGAAGATATTTTCCATGCACTGGCCTAAGGAAACAAGCTAACACCATTCTCAGAAATGTTTCCACTGCGTTTAACAAAAAAGTATGACACGATAGTCTGAGATTGCGATTAACAGACGCTAATAAGAGACAAGCCAAAATAAACTAGACCATCTGAAGTCCATTCGACCTAAGGAGCTAAGTACCACAGAGAAGCGTCATTTCAACCCACCCTTTTCGTCATGTATAATTCCCATATATTCCACCCCCACGAATTCAATCTATAACGCAGGGTATATATAACCTGGGGTATGTCGTCTAACGCAGACGACATAACCCAGGTCAGACCTCCAGAAACATCAATGCAGTACAAACCGGAAAGAAGCGATCGCACCAATCAACAAGGTTCGAGCTTAAATCGAAAATGAAAACAAACAATTAATGACAATAATAATAACAAATAAAGACAATATAATAACAAGAAATAATATCAGAATTAATAACAGAAAAAAATAAAATAACAGAAAAAAAAGAAATAATGGAAAAACCGCAATCCTAAACCGACAAACAAACAACTACAACGAAATAATTCATCTCGACAGTTTTTCTCGGTCTTGCCATAACCGGACAGGAAACACCCCCCCAAAAAATGTATATATATATTAATAAATAAATAAATAAATAATAAGGGTAGTACAAGCAAAAGTTATCCTAAAGCCTAAACAGACCCATTCTAGAATACCCATTTTCCTGAACACATCAAACAGCAAACTCTTCACACCACAAGCAGTTCAGAACTAAACACTCACATGGCCATCAGATGTTACATATCCACCCCCCCCCCACTCCCCCTCATGCCGAACGATTTACGAACACTCCCAGACTAACCCAACGAACATCTGCAATAACTCACAAACGGAACTGGGGAATGAGCGAGATCCCAAAAGGCACACTCTGCACGCAACTACAAGAAACACACCAAGCACTCCACGCGATCAATCACGCAAATGGTGTCCACGAAGCCATTTATTCAGAAACAAACACACGCGATCCTTCACCACACGACGCACATACAACCCCCACAGCGACCTTGGGTATCGTCCGTCGATTCCTCAGACGATCGCAGTACCTAAAGAAAGAAAATCACAAACATGTAAATACAGCAGATAAATACTTCATGAATAGAGGAACGTACAATAACAAACATCACCGATTAAGAAAGAAGAAGACGAAAGAAGAAAGAAAAGAAAAAGTAGCGCTGTCTCCGTTACCAAAGATCCCCTTCCCGTGCGGTACCAAACATGAGGACCTTCGGGATGAGTCGATTTATAAACCCGCTTCGGGAGCTGGGTTTCGGGAGCGCGAGTGCGTGGAGAAGGTGTACCCAGGTAGCAACATGCACGCAACGGGCGACCAACACTTCGCAAGATTGAGTCAAGGGTAAAAAAGAGCTCTTGAACTTTGTATTTTTTTCTTTACGATTTCTGCAAGACATGAGTGGTTTTGGAGTCTTGTATGGTAAATATAGTGCCTGTTGCTTTCTCAGTGGCACTCTCTTTTAACCCTTTATATACAGGTGTTCCTATATTATGCCTTATTCTCCTGTTGCTTTCTCAGTGGCACTCTTTTAACCCTTTATATACAGGTGTTCTCCTGTGAACTCCCCCCCCCCCCCCGCCACATCTTGCATCCGTCAGACCGATTTGTCACAACTTTTATAAACATTCCAAAAAGATGACGCAACACAACCTGATTCGTCCTTCTGTGCAATATCAACATATCTCTCACCCGCGTTTACCACACTTCGGCTTAACACTACCAATTGTTTTTGTTTTATGTTGTTTTTTGTTCTTTGTTTTGTTTTGTTTTTCTTTGTCGATATCTATTAATTTTCTCCTTCTTCATTTATTATACATCATGTCTTTTTTTTCGTATGCCAATGATATGTTAGTTTTCCTTTTTTTTAATCATTAATAAAAGTTAAATGAAAACAAAACTAATATAATGATTTTTCTTTTCTCTGTTTTAGTTTATTGTTTAGATTTGAATATATAACACTAATTCATTAGTTTTTAACTAAAAACGACAATAAAACAAAATAAATGCACAAACTAGTTTTTTTTTAAATTAATTAGTTTTTAACTAAAAACGACAATAAAACAAAATAAATGCACAAACAAATAAAACTAATATGATAAAAACAATTCTCCTTTTAAATTTTAGTTCACCATAAAAATAGTTTTGGCTGCAGTTCCTCCTAGACTTAATAATAATCAAGTTATTACGATACAATTAAGCTTTACACTGCCTAAATTTGGGTAGTTCCTCCTAAACAATAATAATCGTTATTTTAATACAATTAAACTTTGCCTAAATTTGGGTAGCTCCTCTTAGACTTAATAATAATCAAGTTATTACGATACAATTAAGCTTTACACTGCCTAAATTTGGGTAGTTCCTCCTAAACAATAATAATCGTTATTTTAATACAATTAAACTTTACACTGCCTAAATTAGGGTCCACCTGGCACGATACACAAAAAAGACAAGTTTCGCCCTCTCGCTTTCACTCCGATTTCCCTAAGTCCAAATTTTACCTTCCCCCCCCCCTTCCTTCTCTGCTTCATCCTTTAATGTGTGTTTGTTTGTTTTTAGTGTGTGTGCGCTATATACATTTATATCTATATCTATATTATATCTATCCATCTATCTATCTATCTATATGTAATATATATATCTATATATATATATATATATATATGTATATATAATATATATATATATATATATATATATATATATATATATATATATATATATATATATACATATATATGTATATATATATATATATATATATATATATATATATATATATATATATATATATGAGAGAGAGAGAGAGAGAGAGAGAGAGAGAGAGAGAGAGAGAGAGAGAGAGAGAGAGAGTTTGTGTGTAAATATATATATGTGTGTGTGTGTGTGTGTGTGTGTGTGTGTGTGTGTGTGTGTGTGTGTGTGTGTGTGTGTGTGTGTGTTGTGTGTTGTCATTAATTGGCAGTAATTCTACAATGATAATATTGAGTTGTATTGGTTTTTATTTATCACTCTTGTCTGTTAACTTTAAAATAATAGTGTTGTATTACGTCAAAAAGCAGCTTCAGACACAGTATTAGTAGCATTTACAAATAAATCTTCATTTAGATTACGTGCTTCAATAATCATGATGATAATGATGATGATGATGATGATGATGATGATGATGATGATGATGATGATGATGATGATGATGATGATGATGATGATGATGATGATGATATGATGATGATGGATGATGATGGGATGATGATGATGATGATGATGATGGGTGGTGGTGGTGGTGGTGGTGATGATGATGATGATGATGATGATGATGTGATGATGGGGATGGCGATTGATGGATGATGATGATGATGATGATGATGATGTGAATGATGATGATGATGATGATGATGATGATGATGATGATGATGATGATGATGATGGTGATGATGTGCGATGGGGATGATGGCGATGATGATGGTGATGATGATGATGAGGAGGAGGATAATGTTCCTTACCGAAGCCATAACATACAAATAATTGCATTTAGCAAAATAAATAGTTACCTAGTACTGTTGTCTTAGGCCATGTTCTCGTGAGTTTCGGAACCTGTAGTCTCTTGGAGAATTTAGAGAAATTTATCTATGAATTAAGATGCAGATCATATCACAGAATGTATTAAGCATCCATGTCAAAATGTGGTCGAGAGGTGATATAACATCATGTAGAGGTAATGAAACAGTCAGTAATATTATTCACGTATCTTTTTTTTTTCTTTCGTGGAAGCTGATGGTGTTTCCATATCGTCTTCATTTCGTTCCACAAATGTTAGAAATTCAGATGAAAATACTAAAGATTAGTCAGTCACAATGGATACTAAACTACTAGTGAAGGTGTAAAGAAAATAGGCATATGAATCCCACTTCATCCAACATATATGGAAAGATCATCTTTAATTAATATATGGAAAATAGATAAATAATAAACAAATGGTAAAGGCATAAATAAAGACATATACAACATACCAAAAATCGACAATGATAATGAAATTGACAATAAACAAATAATGGAGATACAGAGAAAAAAAAATGTATACAATAAAACCCATTTCCTTCGGCACAGAAAAGAACCATCGACTCGGTCTGTCAAGTCAGTTTGTAAACAATGGCTGAATACTTAGCATCGATTTTCGGCACGGAGAAGGACAAGTAAGGCTTTTATTGTCTATTGCAGGGTTAAATTGCGATAATTATGAACAGTTTAGTGGAGAGATGGGTTTGTTTTATGTACTGAATAGGTGAGGATTGAGCTTGCGTTCTGGAAGGAGGCAGTTATGACGAGGTGATCATCCGAAAATCCAATTGGAATTATATAAAAGGTTTCTGCAGAGTCCCAATTAAGGTTCAGGGAATTTTAGTAGAGTCAGAGGTCCGTTTGGAAATTGTGCTTAACAGTGACTTACAGGTGGACGCATTGGTTTAGAAATCTCACTTTTGTAGCGGAAAATAGTGACTCCCTTTCCAATCGAAGCCCGGTACAATATCGACCGCGATTGCTGGGGAGGAAGTGGTCAATGTCAGGAAAATTGCGGGGTAAAAGCGAGAGATTAGGAAAAATCATTCAATGTTATAACTGCTGTGATGCACATTTTATAGTAAGTAGGTAGTTATGCTTATTGTAATTCCTTTAATTTTACATTCTCTCCACTGCCCTATTTATTGGTAATTCTCTACAGTATGGGCCCACTTACCTGAGTCCCCAACTCCTTGTCAAACATAGTCATCACTTAAAGTTTCTGTGACCAAGCGTGCCCTTTGGGCACTGTATGATGGCAGGGTTGATTGGGGCTCTGCCCCCCAACATCCCTCTGGGGAACGTCATCACCTCAGTATGCATGACTAGATAAAGCTGAAACTCAGGAGAACCGAGTAGAATTAGGCTGAGAGCTGATTTCCGCTGTAGGGAAAACACGTAATGGAACTCCATTTCACGAAATGGAATGTCGTATATGAAATGGAACATGATATTGCGTAATTTACCAAATGATGCGTGGTGCATGTACAAATAACCTTTTTTATGTCACGGTTGTGTTCATATGTTCAATTTAGTGTTGCAGGTATCGATGCACGGAAACCAAATCGGGAAAACACGTCAACAAGGCTCCGTGCCGCCTACTGGCCGACATAGCAGAAGTGGTGCCATCTGGCGAAAGCCCATCTATTATCGGCCATACTTTGAAATCTCTGGGGAAAATACAGTTAATCCTCTCTGGATATTTGAATGTGTATCTGAAGGTTTGCACACAAAAAACGACCTCTTTTCATTCCATTTTGTCTATGGCATTCCATTTCGCGATATGTAATTACATTACATGTTTCCCCAGACCCGTGCTTTCCACTATCTTTTTCATTTATTTGTGGTTTTACTGTTTGTGTCTGCACATTATTTCATGTACCGGCAACCGCATCTTTTTGTCCTTTACAAGAAAATGATATTCAATTTGCACTAACTTGGTGCATCCATAACATAAAAGATTAACCTTATTATTTTGAAAAGAAAATATTATACTGCGTGGATATTGTTGTGGCACCGGATTTTATAACTGTTTGGCTATTTGTCCGGTGTACATGCACACTAACTATTTGAGTGCAAACACACACACTTGCACATTAGCCTTGCATACAAATTTTGGCGCTATTTTTGTGTTGTTCATTGTTCATGGCTAAGGGTCGATCATTGATTATGGATTCCTTTAAAGTTGGAACTGAATTTGCCAGTTTTGCTGATGTGAAGGACAGCTTAACCAAATTTCAAGAAAGCACTTTTGCACAGTTTTATGTCAAAGATTCAAGGATTGTTACTGCAGCTTTGAAGTGTACACCGGATAAGAAAGTAAAGCCAGAGTTGAAGTACTCCTACTTGGTGTTTGCCTGCATTGGGAAATATGGGAATTTAGGAGGGGGTCCGGGGGCATAGCCCCCAGGTTAGGAGGAATTTTTGGTTCATATGGCGATCCTACTGGTAGTTCATGCGTTTAACCCATCCATCCCGGGTGTCACATATATGAGACACAAGGAAAAAATAAACAGTTAGTGCGATGCTGTCTCGGAGCCGTGCTCCGCGGCATCCGGGGAAGCTTCGCCCGCCGATTTTGTAGCTTCATTTTCTACAAAATGTACTGACTGGGTTCACTCACTCGTTTGTTCATGCAACACTGTATTGAATCATCGGTGGCCAAATCTTCTCTCGGGTTCCTACATTTTTCACTTTCTTTATCATCTGAAATACTATCCTTCGCTCTAATTTTCAATTTCCCACATTCTTTTGCTTTTTAAAATGCATGGTGTGAACGA